TCTGTATATGAACTCACACCCTACTTTGATTTTGATGTTGCCATGTTTCGACCTGCAGAAACAGCTTGATTTTACGCTCAAGGTTATTGGAGGTGACTTATCATCTATTCCAGGGATCTCTGATGCAATTGAGGTCTGATGCAACCTTTTACCTTTTTAAGAGCAATACCATACTTGATAAATCATTTTGTGGTTGAGAATTTCACGATCAGAAACCAGAAAATATTAATTCCCAATATTATATTGTAGTTGTTATCACATGGTCAAACAAATTTTGACAGGAAACTATAAGAGATGCAATTGAAGATTCTATAACATGGCCAGTTCGCAAAATTATTTCCATATTACCAGGGGATTACAGGTATGTTAAGTTGACGGGCTCCTTCTATATTGAATTGACTGCTGATTTTAGTCTTTAGATGAATGATATCCAACAACTCTTATTCCAAGAAAACATTTGCTTGGCAAGGAGTAAGTACAGATATATTGCTGAGTCATAGATCAGTGCTGAAAATCTATGCACCTGTCACCTGGATTGACTGAATGTTGTGTGATTAACCCTTTTTTTTTCCTTTGTTTCCTGTGCCCTGTCCTTTTGCTGATGGAGTTCTGTGATTTTACTGTGTACTAGTGACCTGGAGCTGAAACCCGTAGGAACATTAGATGTGAAGCTTGTGCAAGCCAAAGACCTAACAAACAAAGACCTGATTGGGAAATCCGATCCTTATGCTGAGTTATTTGTGCGTCCATTACGTGACAGAATAAAAAGAAGCAAAACCATTGTAAGATGATTGCCTTTTTATTGGTCTACAAGTTGTTCATTTTCTGAAATTAAAGATTAAAACTTTAGTATTCCTTTCATTCTTCAGAATAACCAGCTGAATCCCATTTGGAATGAGCACTTTGAGTTTATTGTAGAAGATGAATCAACTCAACACTTGACAGTAAGAGTGTTCGACAATGAAGGGGTTCAGGCCTCCGAATTGATTGGTTGCGCTCAGGTGGCAGTGAAGGACCTTGAACCTGGCAAAGTGAAGGATATCTGGTTGAAACTGGTCAAAGATTTGGAGGTCCAAAGGGATAATAAAAACAGGGGTGAGGTGAGAATAGTATTTGAAGAGCTAGTGTTCTTTTAAAATAAATAGTTTCTCACCCCTCCTTTTGGGGTGAAAAACTAGCAATTTCTAATGCATTCCAAGTTGTGCATTGGCAATAGGTGCACCTTGAGCTCCTCTTCATTCCTTCTGGCACAGATAGCAACATTTTGAACCCATTTAATGCTGATTTTAGATTGACCTCATTGGAAAAGACGCTTAAGAATGGGATGGATGGAACAGCAGAGGCTGCTGAGCTTGCAAGAACGACCATTCAGAGGAAAAAAGAAGTGATTGTAAGAGGAGTAATATCTGTGACAGTAATAGCAGCAGAAAACCTGCCAGTAGTAGATTTTATGGGGAAGGCAGACCCTTATGTTGTCCTCGTTATGAAGAAATCTGGCACGAAAGTGAAGACAAGGGTGAGATCCATTTTTCCCTTTCACTTTCATAAAATGAAGTACTTCACCAAAAAAAAGGCTTCTCATTTGTGACATACATTGAAGATTCTAAGCCTCTCCATGAGCCATGCATGCTTTCTGGTTTTTGCTTGATATAATAATTGGTGAACATGAGACATCCGTTAGGATATCTACGATCTGGACCTTTTTCTTTGTTCTCAGGTTGTTAATGATACCTTAAATCCGGTATGGAATCAAACATTTGACTTCGTTGTGGAGGATGCATTACATGAAATGTTGATTTTGGAAGTCTGGGACCATGACACCTTCAAGAAGGTATCTTAGATTCTTTAGTCTTTAGATACAAGCATATGCAAATTGAACTACAGAATTTAGCACTTAGCACTTATCACTTTGGTTTTTGAATCAGCCTCTGATTATACTAATTACAGTCGATTTTATGATCATTCAGGAAAAAATAGGGAATTGTATCATGACACTCACTAGGGTCTTAATAGAAGGGGAGGTTCAGGACAATTTTTCTCTGGATGGAACTCAATCAGGAAGGATATTTTTACACATCAAGTGGACTCCACAGCTTGTGTTCCGTGAGCCTTGATGATAAGAGAATGCTAAATACCATCTTTGACAAGGTGCCGAAAATTTTCACCAGATTGCCAACCTGTGAAGAGATTTGCAGGTTGAAGATAGTAGTCATTACAAAGCTAAAAATTTATAATTCTTTTCTTCTACATGAAGGAAAGACATGAGTAAGGGAAGCTGAGCAATAAAAAAACAGAGTACTCTGTTTTTCATATTAATGGCATTTGATTAATTGAACGTCGGGTCATACACTTTGGTTTGGACTGGTAGTTGGACAGCATCACTCTGACCTGTAGTTGGTTTCAGTTTCAGTCTCTCTCTACTCAAACACTCACATTCTGAGTTCAAACCTAAGCAAAAATGGAGGAAAAACCCGACAAAGAAGACAATCATCTACAAATTCTACTCAAATCCCTCCAAAAAGCTTCAAAAGATCTTCAAAACGTCCCCATTTTCACAAAGAATAAAACCCCATTCTCCATTGATCCTTTTTTAGACCTCGATAAAGATGCCAACACCAATCTTTCCAGTAACCACGAACTTTTCAAGCTCTCAGAACTTCTCTGCAACCTCAAAACCCTCCTGGAAAAGCTTCAAAAGTATCAAGGGTACAGCCCCACTTCATTTTTTCGACGCCAAATCACCAACTACAAGATTTACCAGGTTGCATATGCGGTTGATGCTGAAATTCAAGCTTATCTTGATCGAGAAAGTGTCAAAAATCTTGTAAACACACTGGAAGAATCCGATGAAGAAGATGAAAAAGTGAGGGTTTTGATCGAGTTTGAGAAGCGATTATCGCAAGGGTTTGATCTGGGTTTCCAGGATTTGGTTTTAAAGGCAAAAGTGTTCTCCATTCTTGAACGTTTACTTTGTGACGCCACATGTTCGACGAAAGTCCAAAACCAAGCCGCCCTGGCAATAGCTGCTTTGATCAGATTCAACAAGGATGTGTTTGTGGGGTTGGTGTTAATGGGTCCGACTATTCGAGCTTTGATTTCCATGTCTTCCTCCTGTTCGATTCAAGTTCTTTCGTTGCTGATCAAAACCATAAGAGTTCCTCTGGTTGATGAACTCGAAACATACAAGGAAATCCCGAGAATCAGCAGGCTATTGAGCTCAGAAGATGTATCAATTCAAGTTGCAGCCTTTGATTGCATACTCGGAATCGCATATTACGGTAGAAAAGAAGCGATTGATAAAATGCTTCGAGCTGGGTTGATCAAGAGGCTCGTGGAATTGCAGAGATCAGAACATGGAGACAATTTTCCCGAGAAAATTCATGAAGAAGAAGAAGAAGAAGAGAGTTATGTGAAGAAATACCCATTTGCAGGATGTGTTGCAAGGTTTGCAGTGCAGGTAGAAGTAGGGGAAGTGTTGAGCGAAAACGAGAGGAAGGAATTTAAGATGGAAATCTTAAGAATGGTCAGAGAAGTCTCTATTTCTGAAGCAGAGTCTGCCACCATTGCTGCAGAGGTATTATGGGGCTCTTCACCCTGGAATTAGCAGTTTTTTTTTTTTTTCTTTTTTTGTGTTTGGTTGGTGAGAAAATCATTGAGAAAAATTTGTCCATCAATAGAAAATGTATGATATTCTAATGGATTTTTTCAATATTGGTTTTTAATTTAATGTCATCAAATTAGACCCTCCAACCAAAATTGAATACATTACTCATCATCATGCTTGACTTTAACTCAAAGGTGGGCTCCTGGTCATGGGTTCATTCTTCTTTGATACTAATTACAAAAAACCAAAAAACAAGAAAAAAAAAAAAATCCCCACACCCCGGTCTAATAGCCGTAAACTTTGGTTAAAGTGGGATCATATTTGTAAACGCGTATTCAAATCTTTCCGATCCCATTCTCCATTTCCCCAATTGTCTTGTCCGAAATAAAAATAAAAATAAAAATAAAAAATCACCTACGAAAAAAGTAGATGGATAAATTAATAAAAAATTCTTTTAATTTAACCATAAGTCATGATTTCAAGTTCTGAAAATATAATTTAGTTAAATTTTATAAAAAAGAGTTTTGTCGCTTATTGGATCGTATTCAGTTTGAATCTGAATTAGTCGATGATCCAATAAATTTTTAGATATTTGGTAGTTTATACCAAAAAAATAAATAAATAATTTTTTTCTTTTTCATGTTTTTCATAATTTATGCATAAATGATTGGAAAAATGTTTCCTAATGTTTTGTACCAAAATAATTATGGGGTTTTCTCTTTAATGTATTGCCGTCTAAATTAATTGGAAAATTAATTTCAAAATTAATTACATGATAAAGAAAGGAAGTGACCCGATTCAGAAATACAAGACATGTGCGGGGGACAAAATTGAGTTGAGTTGCATTCACAATTCAAGAATTATTACATGATAAATTTGAAAATTAACTTGTTAACAACAGTGCTAATGATTATTCGTAATTTGAGTAATATATAAATTATCATGATCCTGTCCGATTATTATATGTGTCTTAATAAGAGTTTAGCAGTTAATATCACTAATTTAAAACTTTTAATCTAATATTATATAAAAAAATACTGTTTTGTTGAGATATTTTATCTATAATGTAATCATGAAGATCTGAGTGGAATGATTCATTTAAAAAATAATTAAAGTTTTTAATAATGTGTCTTTCATCAATGATTTAAATAAAAATTATATCATGTATTAAATAATAAAGGATAGTAATAAAATGATAAATTTTTTAATATTTTTTTTATATATTATTTTTTAAATTATATTTAATAATAAATAAATATTATTTTTCATTCAGTGCAATTCAAAATTAGAAAGAATTGCATATTGACTTTGTAGTACGTGGCATGTAAGAGGAAAACAGAAATAACGTAGGAAAAAAAAAAGGTGGGAAAATAAAAAATAAAATAAGTGAATTTTAACTAAATATAACCAACCCAAACTTAGTTTATACACAAATAATTGCTTCCTCTAGCTCCTGTTCCTTCTCTTTCTTCGCAATTTTTATTTTTATTTTTCGGCATTTTGCTTTCCACAAGCATCCTCCGGTGCCGCCCCCACCGGTTTACTGCTCGCCGGCCGTCTTAACCACCGCAATACTCTCTTCTTTGTCCAGATTGAAGGGTAGGACATCTGGGATCTCATTAATATTGGATGTCGGTGGGGAGTCAAACGAGAAGGACCTGCTCAACGATCTGCTAGAAAGAACAGATCTTTGAAAATTTCTGCATCTGGGTCTGGATGTCATTGATGGGTTGGAAGTATAAGGCGGGTTTGTTCTTGATTGGTACTGTTGTTGTTATATGGGTCGCATCTGCGGAAGTCACCCAGGTTGGTTTTCTATTTTAATTTGATTTTCTTAATTATTTGATTCTGGGTTCTTTGAATTCGGAGTGCTCATTGCTAAAATTGAATTAATTTGATCAGATAATAGAATACGCCTGTATTGTTACTGATGGATTATGAATTTGTTTTCCTGGTTTTTGAACATTTTGAGTTTTAAGCAATTCATTGGATTCGAATTTGTACCTTTTTTCTGCAATTTGGATACCCAGCAATGTTTATGAATAACTTCAGTTTTCTAGCTAAGTTATTTATATGATGGAGGATAACAAAGAGAAAATGGAGCAAATTATGTTGGAAATTTTGTTCTGATGAAGCTTAACAGAAATCTGTCATACATTTGCATCTTTGTGATTAATTTGGAACTATTTGATATGGTTTTGATTTCGAAATGGTGGGAATAAGTGGTTAAATGGTTATGAATCTTCAATGTTACCTATGTGTCTATATATCTAAAGGAAGAATTTCTGCTCAAAATTGTGTCAAATTAGAAGGTGATGCTCTTCTGGCCATGTTTCTGCTGATCGCAAGGAACGTTTTTCTGATAATTCTGTTACTCCTTCTCAATCACTGAATTCTTCCCATGTAAACATAATAATGTAGGACATAATGCCATTTTCAAGATAGTGTTCGAGTACAAAATAACTTATTTTTGATTATCTGATTCACAGGGTATCTTTACAGACTATAAGCAGCCTTTTGCAGTTACATATCTTGGAGCTTCCCTGTTGGTAGTTTACCTCCCAATAGCATTCCTAAAAGATTGGTTATGTAGTTTTCTAAGACGTCCATCTTCAACTGGTGCTAAAGATGTAGAAAGTGTAGATGAGTCTTCTATTGGACTCAATTCCCCTCTAAGGCAAAAAATCATTGAAATGGAACTTCAAGGGACTTTGACAAAGAAGGACAGTGAAGCAGATTTTTCACCTCATATGGAGGAAAGAGCATTGATTTCCAGAAGCAAAGAAGAAGTGCATTCACTGAAACAAGGGAAAGAGCTTGCCACCAGGGAGATTGCAACCTTGGGGTTTTATATTGCTCCTATCTGGTTTATAACAGAGGTAATTTTCCTTTCCATGGATCTTTAGGAATTCTTCTCCTGTTTCTATCTTTATCTTGTGTCTGGAAGTTTTAGCTTCAGTTTTATTCTTTCTGTTGTGTAAATCTTTTTATCGGTATGGATTGTGCCATATATATCTGTTAGAAGTTCAGCATATAAGAAGTTGAGGAGTTCTTTCTAATTTATTTATTTTTTCTTGTGTGCACTTTGCAGTATCTATCAAATGCAGCTCTTGCACGTACAAGTGTTGCAAGTACAACTGTATTGTCCTCCACATCAGGGCTTTTTACTCTTTTTATCGGAGCTTTTCTTGGCCAAGATAAATTAAATGTAGCAAAAGTAGTTGCTGTCTTCATTAGCATGGCTGGTGTTGCCATGACCACTCTGGGGAAAACATGGGCCACTGATGAGTCAGGACTAAGTTCTTCAGCGTAAGTTTTCCTTTAATTATTTATTTCATAACATTATGGAGTTTTGAAATGCACTGCTTCAGTAGAACTCAATGAAACAGAGGGGTTTTGACTTAGATAGCTGAATATTAATGGTGTCCCAATATGTCTAAAAAATTTCTTTTGCTGAAATATTGTTTATAGTCTAGTTACTTTGGCTAGAAGCATTTTCTATATTCTACTTAGAAAATTGAACGGCAGAACACTTTCATATCCTTTCTACCCTATATGTGGTATTGTGGTTACTTAAGTTAGTCGCTTAGTTAATTTCTTTCTTCAGATTTTTAAGTTAATGTTTTCTCTATTAGCTTGCTCTTTGTAATGTATGTTTTGGCATTGACAGTTGATGTTTGTGTTTAGCAATGGGAAACGCTCTCTTGTTGGAGATCTTTTTGGCCTCCTCTCAGCCATGTCTTATGGGCTATTTACAGGTGTCCCAATATGTCTTGTTTTTGTTACTTTTCCATTATGATTCTATTTTTGGCAAAACATCTATTAATTTTATTCTAAATTTTTTTGCTGCAGTGCTCCTTAAAAAGTTTGCTGGTGAGGAAGGAGGAAGGGCTGATGTGCAGAAGTTGTTTGGATATATAGGACTCTTTACACTAGTAGCATTATGGTGGCTTAGTAAGTATTTTTTGACTATATGTCAGTCATCAAAGTTGATCTAAGATCCTTTCTCTGTACACTAGTACTACTTTTGGCAACTGCAACAGCTACAGAGAACTTATTATTTAGCAAAGTTAACTTTTTGTTTATTTTTTTTTCAGTTTGGCCATTGACAGCCCTGGGAATTGAACCCAAATTTACTATTCCCCATTCTGCCAAGCTGGATGAAGTTGTTCTTGCAAATGGGTTTGTTGGAAGTGTCCTCTCTGACTACTTTTGGTAAATGCAATATTCTGTGTTCTTCAGGCACAGACCTCCTGTTTTCTTATTTTGTATATTCTTATATGAAGTTTTAAATTTCTTTGTCTTCACCAGGGCTTTAAGTGTTGTATGGACAACTCCGCTAGTGGCCACCTTGGGAATGTCACTGACCATCCCTCTTGCTATGGTTGCTGACATGGTAATTCATGGCCGTCACTACTCAGCCATCTACATTCTTGGCTCGGCTCAGGTGACTAAATTCTCAAAAAGTTGGATATTATTTGAGAATTTTATTTAACTTTGTTGAAAAATTTGCATCTAAGTTAGGATATCATGCCAAATTCTTGAGTGAACCAAATGTCTTCCTCTGATTCCCATGCGTGTTTAATTCAGAGCCACATAATAGGATTTAATCCTCTTAATCCCTTGTGTCACACTCAATTTGCTTTAATCTTGATCCATACTCCTATCTGAATTTCAAATAGAGGGTGGTAGTAATAGGTCACGAGACCATTCATTTTGCTTACATACAGTTGGCAAATAAAAATTTGGAAAATGTTCATCCATCTTTCCAACCTTAAATCTCCTGTACTTGCATATCCATATTTTCTATCTACATATAAGTTGAGCAACTAGATATCAAAAGCAACAACTGGGTTTGATGCATTTTTACCCACTAGTTGAAGATTGACAATTACCGTACCAAAACACTGGGAATTGATCATACTTCTCCTTTTGTGTTGTGTGGCAGGTATTTGCTGGCTTTGTAATAGCTAACCTTTCAGATTGGTGCTCCAAGAAGTTGGGGTTATAGCATTTGGAGGAAATGATAGAATCACAATTAGGGCAATATAATTCTTTCTTGGGACCATTGTCTCTTCCATTTTGAGTGTACTTTACAATGTTTACGTTACTGAATACTGATTTAATGTGTAAACTCCCTCCCCGGTACCAACTACCAAGATGTGTACGCAGGGAAACAAAAGATGTGTTGTAATGTCAAATTGTAATTGATTTTTGTAAATGAAATCCTTTCTGGTTGCGTGTCCTCTCACCCATGGTTTTGCCAATTAATTCTTTAGCATTTTCTCAACAAGTCAATACTGAAAAAAAGAAAGGAGAAAAAGAAAAGGAAAGGCATGATTTACGATGAAAATTAGAGATTTGAGAGCATGTTTGGTGAAATTTGTAATTGTTTTAATTTTTTAATACTATTCATATTTTATAAGTTTAAATTTCTCTTTTAGAATATGTTTGGTGAAACTTACAATTGCTTCAATTTTTTGAAACTATTCATGTTTCATAAGTTTAAATTTCTCTTTTAAAAATTTATATTTTTAAATTTTTTTTAACTTTAAAAAGATCTTAAACAATAAATTTTAAAAAATTCAAACATAAATTTTTTATAAATTTTTTTTACTCATTACTTATTTTTTATTATTTTCAAAAGTAACTTTAAAATTTTTCTCTTAAATAAAAATTTAAACTTATAACTTATAAACAGTATTAAAAAAAGTAAGAACTTTAAGAAGTTCCATCAAACAAGCTCTTAAAAACTTACCTTTTTAATTTTTTTTACTTTAAAAAAACTTTAAATAGAAAATTTTGAAAAGTTTCAAATTCTTACTATTTATAAATTTTATTTTTATTTATTTCTTATTTACTTTTTTCTATTTCTAAAAGTAATTTTTAAAATTTTTTTAATAAAAATTTAAACTTACCACTCATAAATAATAATAATAATAAAAAACAAAAAACTTAAAGAAACTCCACCTTTAAATCTCTTTAATATCGAAGCGGAAGCTGTTAATTTTCTATACGTAAAAAAATTTCTGTTTTTTTTTAAAACAAGCGATGTTGAAAAAAATAAGGGTTCAAAGTCCAAACTCCAAAGTCCAAACATGCCGAATTACGGGCTTAAAAGTGGGTTGCCTGGCTGTTCCTCCTCCTGTTAATCTTTTCTGGGCCTCTAGATTGATTGAATATTATGCACGTGGTTCGGGCTAGTTCTCTTGATTTTGGGCCGGCTTTACATATGTGGGTCCAAACAGGCCCGAAACTGTTCTGTTCCTTTCCGTACTCAGCTCCTAGCGAGGGACGGAGGGAGAAAGACCGATCAGATCTCCGGAGAACTGTGTTCTTTCTTCTAATTTTCATCAACGCTCTCCCATCTCCGCTACCATGGCGCCGATAAACGGATCCAAACCGCTCGTTTTGTTATTTTTCGTGGAGCTATGTGTTTCACTGTTCTCCACGGCCGGCGCGATTTCGCCGGCGTATGTTTTTCTCTGTTGTTTTCTCTTTATTGCAGTATCTGTTTTTCTGTTTGTTGCTGAGAAAATATTATAGATTGAGCAAATTGAGATTTAGGCTATTGTAGATAGTTTGGGGGAATTTAGAACACCAGCTGGTTGGTGAAGTTGAGCCTGGATTTAGCATGTAGTGACTTTGTTAAATTTTGATTTAACTCATCCTGTAAGGGTTAATCTTTCTGGATTTTAACGTTAATCTCTTCTTTATTTTTATTTTTCGCAGTTATGGAGATGGCTACACTATATATGGTCGGGTGAAGATCCCCCAAGGTATTTTCCCCCTTTTTTCTGTTAGATTTTTTTGCCAAATTTGGGCGTTCTAAGGTGAGAAATTTGGTTTGTTTGTGTTTTGAAATATAACAATTGCTTCTATTTTCTTGAAATTACATATAACATATATATTCGTTTCTACAATCTAATATGGTGGTATTCCGGTATTGATTGTTTATCTCAGTTTGAAATTTAAGGCTGGGTATGTCTGTAGTATGAGTTTATATATCGATCATAAGTAATGGTTTCAGTTAATGCTCTCTGAAACTACTTCAATATCTAGGTTTCTGGATAGCATCTGATTCTCTCAATGCCATGGCGATCATAACATTGGATAAATATTTATGGTCTCTAATGCTCTATGCTTTGGCATTTTGTAGCCTTCAAAAATTAGCATGGTTTGTTATGGATTCTTGGCGTGGCTTTGTATAGTATATCTATTCTTCCTTTGTACAGCTTTTGTTATTTGGTTAGTGTTTGTCTCTAGTTTCATGTTCATGACTGATGAAATCATTTGGCAGGTCTTGGTGTCAAAGGGTTTGCCTTGCCTGGAAAAATTTCAAATGTAAAAATTTTACTCAACGGTGGACAAAATATTACTTTCCTGAGACCTGATGGCTATTTTTCATTGTATCCTATTATTTCTTCATTTTTCTGCATGGTTGTGTTAAAAAGTAGCTTGATATCAAGCCTTTTTTTTTGTTTTTGTTTTAAGTTACTTGGCAATAACATATAAATCTTCTTATACCATACAAAGTGCTTGCCAATGTATTATTCGTTAGAAATAAGATGATTCCTTAACGAGCTTGCGAAAGCCATAATGTGCCAGCAGGGACACATTTAATTGAAGTGGCTGCAGCAGGTCATTTCTTTTCCCCGGTAAGATCTTTCTCTTTTAAATTTTGTGGACTATCAATTGCTTAGCCATTATATAAAAACATGTTAAATGCTTAGTTTTTTCAATTTTTATAGGTTCGAGTTGATGTTAGTGCCAGAAACCCAGGCAAGGTTCAGGCAGCATTGACAGAGAACAGAAAGGGTCTAAGCGAGTTGGTTTTAGAGCCATTGCATGAGGAACAGTATTATGAGGTAGACCACCCTTTTCCTATGCATCTTCAAGTTCATCCTTTTTAATCATTATTATCTATTATGTTCCTTATGTTATAAATTTGCAGATTAGGGAACCTTTCTCCATAATGTCTGTTGTGAAAAGCCCAATGGGTCTCATGGTGGGATTTATGCTGGTGTTTGTATTTCTCATGCCCAAATTAGTTGAAAATATGGGTAAAGTTCTCCATATTTTGTTCATTAGCCTGCTAGATTTTAACTGCGCTCTTGAAGTTCTAACATGCTACCTTTTGGGGTTGAGTTGGCCTATGGGGACTAGCAAGCGAGATCTCTAATTTCTCAGCATTCATGGCTTGTACTTACTTTCCACTAATTCCGCTCCAATGTCTTGGGCAACAGATCCTGAAGAAATGAGGAGAGCACAAGAAGAAATGAGGAACCAAGGAGTTCCCTCTTTGGCAAGCTTGCTACCAGGAGCTGGAAGGAGTTAGATATTCGACAAGGAATTGTATTCACTACGTTCTGCAGATGAGGTGCAGTTCCAAGTTCGAACAACGTGCTTGGAGCATTCCACACTGTTTAGCCGAATGGTCTTCTATGTGATTACCTGCTTTGGCTAGGTAGCCATAGAAGGTTGCATTCTCCATCCTCAGTGGAGATCAATGATTTTACTCTTTTTACATTGTTGACTATATTGAGGGATTTAATGTGTCTGAAAATCAGATAAATGTTTATATGTTTTTATGTTGAGATTCTGTACTAATTTTATTGTTTAAACATCATAATTTTTTGTCTTTGCTTGCGAGTTTAAACAATTTCCATTTTTAACTGTTTTCCTGTTGGAATGAAGCTTGCCTCATTTTGCCCAAGTGGGGATATGTATTATGTACGAGTATGACTACCCAAACTATCATTTTGTAGAAACATTTTGTTTTTTTCTTGGTACAAAGAAACACTTTTTTATATAGAGAGTAGAAAGTCAATATGTAATTGTATACAAATATCTTGACATGAGCTTGACATGAGCACTTACAAAACTCACGAAAACTTAGAAAAAATCTAGTCTATGAGAGATATTAAGGTTGTGGGGTCAGTAAGTACCAGATGTAATTTGACTGCTAAGATGTCAAATTAATCTTTAATGCATGTTCATCTAAAAATAACAAGAATTTGATTAAATTGATATTTATTTATTTAAAATTTTTAATTTAAGGTTAATATCAAAACTTTAAATTTTTATATTATTAAGCAACTAACTTTTGATATATCAAAATAACGTTTATTTTAAAAAATATAATTATGGTATCAAATAATATTATAAATTTATAATAATAGTGTATCATTTATAATAAACTTTTTATTTAGGTTTGTATATAATATTATATACATTTAACCTGGCACAATAAGAGTATCTTTTAAGGCAAAATAATAAAAATAAAATCTCTTTTTTTGGGAGGTAAACACTATGGAAAGAGTTTAATGTATGTAAATTTGTACTCATGGTAAGATTATTATCATATTTTAAATAGTTAATATTAGATATTTTTAATATAATTATTTATTATATTTTTATATTATATTTTAAAAAATTTATATTTTATATTAATTAATTAAAATAAAAAATATAATATTAATAATTAAAAATATGATAATAGCATCAATAGTTTACTAACACAAATTTAATGCATGTAAATTTGTATTAATACGGGCCGTTACTTTTAGAGGTATTTAATGACGAAAGGCGTTAAGCCCGAAAGTCAGCTGGGTTGGACCAATAGAAAATAAAACCCAATTGACCTGGCCGATTGGCCCTTGAAGTCGTTGTGAGTTGTAACGGCTCAGATCTCCTTCATCGTTTTTCCCAAAGGAAATTTAGAGTTTCTTCTGTTACTGTTTTTTTTACATTTGAATCTGCCAAGAAGCTCTACCGTTCCATGATATTACCCACCCGCTCGTAGACGCAGATTGAGATTAAGGTAGACATGGAGGGGTTGCCGACGACGACGACGACCAAGGCTGATCGGCGATGGAGATCGAAGCCTCTACAGACATCCAAGCCCTCGTTGCTCTTGGCCTTCCTCTCTTGCGTCGCCTGGCTCTACATCGCCGGCCGGTTCGTTTTTCAATTCTCCGTTTCTCATTCTTTTAATGCAATTACCTTTTTGTTTCATCTGAAAATATAATATTAGTGTCTTTCCGCTAAGCTGTTGTTTTAGCTTCTTTTTGGATCACGATCGTTTTGATTTGAGGAGAATAGCATCTCAATTTTGAGGATGCACTCTTTGTTGCAAACAATTTAGCTTAGAGTTTGAGATAATTGCTCTTTTCCTTTTAATAAATTTTCTCAGCTGTGAAATGGATTGGATTTCCTGATTGTTTTCTGTACTATAGATTTGTCGATGACAATTGTTGCGTTTTCCTTTGTTGTGTGGAATTTTTGTGAAATCAGGCTATGGCAAGATGCGGAGAACAGAACAGTACTTGCCAATCTTCTGAAGAAGAACTCAGAACAGGTCTGCTATTAGCTCCTTTCATAATATTTTGTTTCTTTTGCGATCAACTTGATGCTGTAAATCTATGACATAAACTAATATTTTAAATGTCTTAGTCTAATTTTCATGGTTTAATGGAATTTAGCAGGTTATATCCTAACTGTCAAATTATCTGTGATTTTGACAACTGATTGATGATGACATTATTATTATTATTATTTTGATCAGTGATTGATGATAACATTTCAAGTTTTGATGTTTAATGATTTGCCTTTTTGGCCTGATGTTTTGGTGTTTTTGTTGGTAGAGACCAAAGGTTCTTACGGTTGAAGATAAGCTGATGGTCCTAGGGTGCAAGTATGTTTCTTAATTCTTTGTTAACATTTTCCCCCTAACATTTATATATACACACACACACACACACATGCATACTTGCAAATTTTGTGTTTCTTTTCTATTGTGCTGGCATTGGAAATATATACTCTTTTTTTTTTCTTTTCTTTTCTTTTTTTTGATTTTTAGAGATCTAGAGAGAAGGATTGTGGAAGTGGAGATGGAATTGACATTGGCTAAGAGTCAAGGATACCTTAAAAACCAATTACAACAAAGTGGATCTTTGTCAGAACAAAAGCTTCTTGCTGTTATTGGCGTTTATACTGGATTTGGCGGTCGCTTGACTCGAAATACCTTCAGAGGGTCTTGGATGCCCAAAGGTGAGTGAGCTGTTCTTTCCCTATCTCTCTCGCTGTCTATATGTTTGTATGTTTGGATATAAGCTTTGATCGATAAATTTATAATCATTGATTTCGGCAGGTGATGCCCTGAAAAAACTCGAGGAAAGGGGAGTAGTCATACGATTTGTAATTGGTCGAAGGTTTTCCTACAACTTTTAGTTCTTGTTCAGTTATTCTCCTTATGCATTAATGCCTCTTATTGCTTGTTTCTGTTCCTCAGCTATTAACAGTTCTACATTTTCCTAGCTACTAATTGGATAAATTTTAGTCACTATTTTTTCTTTGGAACTGGCAGTGCTAATCGGGGTGATAGCTTAGATCGTAATATAGATGAGGAAAATCGCGCGACAAAGGATTTCTTGTTTCTTGTAAGTAATAGATTTTCCATATTAGGTTTTAATTCTTCAATATTTAGTTTTAAAAGTTAGATACCTATCTTTTTCCTTCAAATTTAGAAACCTGGTTGAATACTGAATAATTTTTTTCTATATTTGATGACAAGAGACTTTTGTCAGAATATTCTTGCAATGCATGTTATACCCTTATTCAGGACTAAGGAAATAGAATTATGAATGGAAAAAAGTAAAGATATTCTCATTTCTTCTTTTTGTTTTTGTATTGAGTTTTTTCTTAGCACTTGTTGCTTGGATTTGTTAAGCATAGAAAGCATGGGTTCTGAACATCCCCTGTTGGTTATTTATCAGGAGGGCCATGAGGAGGCTCAGGAGGAACTGCCTAAAAAAGCAAAGTACTTCTTCATTACTGCTTTTCAAAATTGGGATGCGGAATTTTATGTAAAAGTTGATGACAATATTGACGTTGACCTTGGTAGAGCCCCTTTCTCTATCCTTCTAGACTATCAAAAGTTGGCATTTATAGTTTGATCAATTTTGGATCTTGGCTTACTCATTTTATTGATTTATTCATCAGAAATCTCTGATATATAATAGTCTATTTTATGGCCTAACAGAGGGGTTGATTGGACTTCTTGAAAAACGTCGTGGTCAAGATGGTGCTTATATCGGATGCATGAAGTCTGGAGAAGTGGTTTCTGAAGAGTATGGGCTTTTTTTTTCTTTTTTTTCTTTTTTTCTATCTTGGTTCACCTTTTTCTGGTTGCTCATCACATTCTACCTATGGCTAATCTAAACATTTAGTGGTACTTTGTTTCTCAGATGTACTGTCCTTAACTATAAAATCTGGAAGCTGGAAAAATATTTGCAAAACTTAACAATATGTTTGGGTTGAGGGGAATGGAGGAGAGGGGAGTGGAGGGGAAAAAATTTCTCTACTTGGTTATCAAAAGATTTGGAGGGGAGGGGAGGAGAAGAATTTCCTTTATTTTTTCTTTTAAATTTATTTACTTATCCAAATGAGGGGAAGGGAGGGAAGGGGAGGGGAATCGAAGGATACAATTCCCCTCCCCTCCCTTCCCCTCAACCCAAACATATGGTAAATGTAAAGCCTTGTTAGTGGGAATCATTTTAACTGATCAGATTTCTCTGATAGAAGCTAGATGTTACTCTTCTGTGTGTTTCATTTTCCTGATATTCCTTTGTAGTGTTGCATACAGCTATGTATTAATGCTATTATAAAATTGTGTATTGTTTAGATTCTATCAAAGTAGGCACGCTAAGAAATTATTCTTTATTTTTGCATGTTAGGACTGCTTTTCCCTCATGGATAAATTACCATTTTCATTCAGTTTTAGGTTCAGCTTGTGAGCATCTGCATTTTGTTGGTTACAGGGGAAGGCCATGGTATGAACCTGATTGGTGGAAATTTGGAGATGAGAAATCGTAAGTGATCTAGCTCCTGGCAGAGCATACCTAGCATTTTTTGAGTGAATGATATATGGCCTAATTAACATTTTTCAATTTTCCTGTAATTTAGTAACTTTTTGCTCACTATGTTTGGTTCTAATTCTCTTGTACCAATCTATTCAGGTACTTCCGGCATGCGGCTGGTTCACTTATTATTCTTTCCAAAAATTTGGTTCAGTATATCAGCGTAAACAGGTTAGTTATTGTTGCTGAAGCTTATAACTGAAAGAAAACGTATTGTGAATTCTCTTTTGAAATTTCTTTAAAATAATGAAACTACCAAGGTTGTCCTACAAGCTACATTGGTGACTATTCACTCCAAGTCGTGGTAGGTAGTCCACCTTTGAAGTTCTATATATGAGAAACTTAGCAATGAATGAGCTGAACATGTAAATTACCTTAACCTTGCCATTTGTGCCGGTGATCCACTTTCCTCATTGAGGTTTAATCAAAGTGAGATTATGTGTGCGTTTAAGAGTGAATTATGAAAATGACTTTATTCTTATTGTGGCATGAACTAAGTGTCCCCTCAAGCATTTCAATCCCGGATTTTTTTCCTTGTGACATGCAGCGCATCACTGAAGACTTACGCTCATGACGATATCTCTGTGGGATCTTGGATGATGGGTGTCCAAGCGACCCATATAGATGATAATCGCCTTTGCTGTAGTAGCATCAGACAAGGTAAACTTGATCCCATACCTTCAGTTTCTCAAAATTTCTTACGACCCTCCAAATTAACTTATACGACTTGCACTTGTATTCAATACCTTCTTACTTTCAGATAAGGTGTGTTCTGTGGCTTGATCAGAGAAGATAGCTACTTTCCATCAGTGTAAAGGCCAACAGTTGCTCAGTTGTCAGCTTGAGTATCGATGAAACTCTGGAGGATCTCTATTGCTTCTGCAACAACTTGTTGGTACCCATTTCCGAGATAGAGCTGCGGGAAGTGATTTCTGGAGTTTTTAGCTCGATTATTCTTTCAGATGCACAGATCGGAAACAAAATTTTTCTAGGATATATTTACAGGCTAACTAAACTGCACTGCTCAATTGTTGCGTCAATATTTCATTTTTTCAGCTCGAGTATCATGTGTTAAATCAATTTCCCAGCAGATCTCTATAGTTCCCCTCCTAACAGCTGTTCCCAGCAGCTTGAGTGTCAGATTGCATAACATACCCTTAAATTAGAAGAGAGCTCTCTAATATTGGACTCCCTTATTCAAGGATTTATATTTTATACTCTAGTGTGAAAGAGGGGATTCGTGATAAAATGATAAATTTATATTAGACATTTTTTTCTTAAAAATTAAGCTCATTTATTAACAAAAAATATTATAATTATAATGATAAGTAACATTAAATGTGAAATATAGTATATTATTATATAATTATTATTTTTTTAACAATATAAAAGGTATAGGGATAGGGTATACCATAACTTTAAAATCATGTGAGACAAATGCCCCACAATCGGTTAAGATGACTTCACTTAAGGGGTTAATCTTTTTTGAATAGTATAGAAGATATAAGAATATGACACATAATTTTGAAATTGATTAATTTAGAGTTGCGTTAACTCTCAAATATACCATTATAATATACACATATATAGTTGGTGTGGGATAAATTTTCCACAACTGATATAATTAATTATTTTTAAAAAAATTTATTTATAATATTATATATGTTTATTTATATTATATTATATTATATTCACTTAATGTTATATTATAATTATAAATTTATATACTAATATCACACGTACTTTTTAACATTGGAGATTAAACAATTGAATAATATTAAAAAAATATAATATATAAATTAAAAATAATACCTTATTTTTTAATCCAAATTATGAAAGAGGGATTGCTCTCAATTTCAAGCTTACTCACCTTATAGTTCAGGCATAGAATGCGGTTCACTTAAAACTGCACAAACCGTCTCTCTCGAGTGTCCTTGGTTCGCTCGTTGTAGATAACAGTAAGACTAGAGTTGGCCGTTTCTGTTGACTGAATAACCTTAATTGAGGAAGGAGAGAAGCGGCGGCGAATGGGGACTCTTTTCAAGTTCTATAAACCCCTGTTTTTAACTCGATTCGCTTCAGTCCCCAACTCCTTACGCGTTGTTCATCCCTTGAAGCTCAAGAGGAGAAGCTTTGTCCGTTGTTTCGGCTCTCTGAGCTCGTCTCAGCCGTTGGTCAATGAGAAAACTACCCAGAAACCCACCGGAGATTTGCCTCCGGCTCCGTCACCGGAGCTGTGGCTGTACAACACCATGACTAGGAGGAAGGACCTGTTCAAGCCTAGAGTGAATGGCAAAGTGGGCATGTACGTCTGTGGTGTTACCGCCTATGATCTCAGTCACATAGGACATGCTCGTGTCTATGTCACCTTCGATGTTCTCTACAGGTCTTTATATCCACTGTCACTCTCTCTTCATGTCTGAATGTTTTGTACATATTTACACACCACAATGTGTTCTTTCCTTTTATTTTGATTTGGGAATTAGGCAGATATCTTAAGCATTTGGGATATGAAGTGTGCTATGTTCGGAATTTCACTGATGTTGATGACAAGGTTAGCTCACTCTATTTTCTATATTTGTGTCTCAGTAGTATTTTTCGCAAGCCAAGCATTCTTGATATTTGATAGATGCCACCATAAATCGCTCTGTTTTAGAATGCCTTATATTTGTTGAAAATTTTGAAATTTTGGCATCTTCTCCACGGCTGTCATGGGATTTTGATTTTGGTTCGTCTGTTCTTTGAAGATAATTATGAAACCAAGTTGATATTTTTCTAATCAAATTTTGCATCTTGATCTTTTTACTGCCGGCAAAATGTTTCTTCAAAGTTTATTTCTTTGTTCTGATATTGTTTGTCCAGTGGTCTAACTTTGGTGTTGTAGCTCTTAATTAGATCCCTTGATGTGTTAAAATGCCAACTACTTTTTCTATTGATATGACAGGATAGCTGAGTCTACAAATTTTTAAATTCTGTAGATAATTGCTAGAGCAAATGAATTGGGGGAGGATCCAATCAGTTTGAGCAGACGTTACTGTGAAGAGTTCCATCAAGATATGGTTCATCTCTGTTGTCTTCCACCTTCTGTCGAACCTCGTGTATCAGATCACATGCCTCAAATCATTGACATGATCAAGCAGGTACTCTAAGTTGCAATCTAAGCAATTGCTGTATAATGTGAAGATGAAGATGCATGGTTAAGTAAATGATTGACTAAGAAATTCTCCACTAAGTTACTAGGTCTTGTCTAAAAGTTCATTTTTTTTGTTATAACTTCAGATTTGTATCCATTTCTTCCTGAAATATTTATCAAAGTGCTACCTTTGGCAGATTCTTGATAATGGGTATGCCTATAGAATTGATGGGGATGTCTTCTTCTCAGTAGACAAATTCCCAGAATATGGTCGCTTATCTGGCCGAAAGTTAGAAGACAATCGAGCTGGTGAGCGAGTTGCTGTGGACTCCAGGAAGAAAAATCCAGCTGATTTCGCTTTATGGAAGGTAAGCTTGTTAAGAAACATTGCTTCTTACATGTGTATGTGTGCATGCTATGGATCATGATAGGTAGGAATCTGACATTACATACATGTGTGGTTTGTGCATGGCATAGGCTCATCATTAGCTATAGGACCCATGTAACTCTCGATAAACTCAAATAATAACTCATTTGTGTTACAGACGTACATGTGTACAAGGTGTTGGAAACTGTGGATAATGGTCAATCAGTAAAGGGGTAGGAATGGATCAGGCTGGTGATATTTCCAATATCTTGCTTGAGAATAGTTGTTTAAGTTGGCATACCTGTTTTATGTGTTGATGGATGGATTTGTTCTATCTATGTGATCAAATTAGCTTTTTTATGGTTTTTTTTTTTTTTTTAAATTAAATATCTTATATGATATTTTGGCAGCCTGCAAAGCAAGGGGAGCCCTTTTGGCAGAGTCCATGGGGGCCTGGCAGACCTGGATGGCATATTGAGTGCAGTGCCATGAGTGCTGCATATTTGGGTTACTCTTTTGACATACATGGTGGAGGCATGGACCTTGTGTTTCCCCACCATGAAAATGAAATTGCTCAGAGTTGTGCTGCTTGTAACCAGAGTAATGTAAGCTACTGGATACATAATGGCTTTGTCACTATTGACTCTGAAAAGATGTCCAAATCCCTTGGAAACTTCTTCACAATTAGGCAGGTAGGTTTACAGTCATCTTTGTTGATATGATGTTTACCTTTCAGTTGTTTCATATAATTCTTTCTTGAACTTATGCTATAATTTTCCTCTTTCAGGTGATAGATCTTTATCACCCACTAGCCTTGAGACTTTTCTTAGTGGGAACCCATTATCGGTCTCCAATCAACTATTCTGTTGTGCAACTTGAAAGTGCATCTGAACGCATTTTTTACATTTATCAGGTACCAAAGCCTCTCTTTCTCCCCTTTATTCATGGTATTTCTGTCTTTGTTCTAGGATAACTTGGCATTGTCACAAGAAGTTTTGCCTTCTTGGTGTTGTGATCGTGTTATTGTCTAGATTAATGTGCCATAGGTCTGGCCAATCCTTGGGCATTGACTCGATGCTAAAATTTCCATTTCTGAGATGCAGAAATTTTCACATGCATAGATACTTGTTAGCAATTCTAAATTGATTATGACATTTTCTTCCCCCAGCTATTTCTTTGTGATTTGCAACAATCTATTATGTATCATATGCAGAATTGACGAACATCATGTAGAGTTTTTTTAATCAGTTTCTTGCATAATTTTTCATTTAATTTTATCCCAATCAAAAAATATTTCCTGCCATTGATTGTGTGTGGTTCAATTGGCTGCAGACACTACATGATTGTGAGCTTGTTCTGAGCCAGCATGGTGAAGTGCATCAGAAAGATTTTGTCCCCCCTGACACTTTGAATGGCATTAAAAAGTTCCATGATGAATTTTTGGCCTCAATGTCAGATGATCTTCATACTCCAGTTGTTTTGGCTGCATTCTCTGATCCATTGAAGACCATCAACGATCTGCTACATACTCGCAAGGTACTAGGTTAAGACACTTGATAGTTGATTCATATGAGGACATAACCTCAAAATAGTTCAACCATGCATACCACATCTGGCCTCTGATAACTGACAATTACCATAATATAGTGCAATGTAACGTTTTGATTTTGATCAGGGATCCTAGGCAGTAAGCATCAAAGCGAGACCATCTTTGTGGATATGTTTACAGTTTTGCATCAAAACAAAATACAGAATCACAAAGTTTACTTGCCTTTGTTAATGCCCTATTCCATAGGGTCCTTTTACACCATAAAAATATTGCAAGTTAATGAAGTTAAGGAAGGTGTCATCATTTTTCACCTTAATGATCCTTGTGATGATTATTATTGATTTAATGATCCATGCAGGGGAAGAAGCAAGCAATGCGAATTGAATCACTTGCAGCTCTAGAAAAGATAATTAGGGAAGTTCTGGTTGTCTTGGGGCTGATGCCCATGAGTTACTCTGAGGTAAGATTTGATGTCTGGTACAAGCATACTGCCTTATGATTTCAGATGGCAAAGGTTTAGAATGAAAAGTTTTGTTCAGCATCCTAATATTTAAGCACGATCACCTGATTTCTATAAATTTCCTTGATTTAATATTTTATCTCTTCATTCTCTTACAATTAGCTTTTCAATCTACAGGTCTTGCAGCAACTCAGAGAAAAGGCTTTGAAGCGTGCAAGATTAACAGAAGATCAAGTACTGCAAAAGATTGAGGAAAGGACAGCCGCAAGAAAGAACAAAGATTATGAAAAATCTGATGCAATTAGAAAAGATTTGGCTGCCATAGGCATCGCTCTTATGGACACTCCAGAAGGCACAAGTTGGAGACCAGCTATTCCCCTTGCACTGCAAGAGCAGCAAGTTACTGCAGTCTGAACAGCTTCTTGAGTCAGCAATGTCATGGTGTTATACCGTTATGCAGGACTTTAGCAAACACAATTTTTCTTGTTCCAACACCCACTTTCAAGATTTTGGAATCATTTTCATTTTTGCCGTGTAAGGAAGGAATTCTTTTAGTTCAGTTATTAGTGATAGTGAAGACCACCGGAAATATAAATTTCAACGGGCATGGGTAGATAAATTTTGGAGATGATGTAATGATTCATTCTTTACATTTGCTGTAAAATACACTTTTCTTTTTCTCGAATTTGACATTCAAAAGGAGTCTGGATTCACTTGACAAAATATCTGCCCCGAAATTTCGTGTCGTGAATAGTCGTTGTAACTTTTTGCTCAAAAAAAAAGAAAAAAAAAAGAAAAAAAAAAAGGGAATTGTCTTTGTTACTTATTATGCCCTTTTCGGTTTACATTTGATTATGCCAAATTTCCGAGCTTTTACATATGCCTTTTATGAAAGAAACTGCACAAGTTTCACCCTATTTGTTGGTAATAATCTATGTACAGGCAGGAAGTTTCAAGCTTGGAATGTGAGAAAATACAATAGAGAAGGGATCAACTCTGATTGGATCCGACACAGTCACTTGTTTTGGCTTCATTGTAGGGATTTCCCCAGATGAGCTTACTGTAAGTACTTTATCATTCAGAAGGACTGCTTGACTCTGTAAATCTCCATCTTTTGCCTTTAAATGGTACTCTTCTCTCATATCCTTTGATGATCTTTTACAACATCTGGACATCCTACCAAAACTTAATCTTTCAGTTTGTTCTTGTTGTTTCATGACTGAGGTTCCATTGCCGGTAGGATTTTCTGTTGAAACACTGACTTCAACTCTAGTATCAGCATCTTCGTTGATCAATAACAATGTGATTCCTTTCTATCATAATGCAAAGAAAGAGAAGACACATTAGCCAATATGTATGTAAACCTCTGGTAGCAAATCTGGGAATAAGGAAGCATTTACTTACAGATTGCTTAGAACAGTGAGCATAAGCTCGTATATTGTTTGTCCCAGTGAAATTTGTGAAGAGGACTTTGCTCCCCATCAAACGATGCCAGAGGAGAGCACTGCAGGATAACATTGATTAATACATTCATTCATTCATATGCAAGTTGTATTTTGAAGTTTTAAAGACTTTACCTGTAGTAGTCTGGATTGGGAACGAAGGTTGCAATGTTTAGAAGACCATAATTTCCACCTATCAATGTCTGTCTACAGTATGTTTTAGTATCATAGGAAGCTGCCATTCCAAGTTGGTCCAAGTACCTGTTTGGTTAGCAGGAAAATTTCGTCAACGACAACCCATATCAGAAAAAAGAAAGGAAAATGTGTCAAAAGAGAGAATAATGCTTAACCAGAAACTGTCTACAAATGCATTGGACACAAGGTTCCGGCCACTTCTATAAGCCCCTCCAGCTTCCCCAACCCATGCAACTGCTGAACTCCCAGAATTCTTCAAAATTTGTTGAAGGTTACTAAAACTATAGGATCCACCCTGAAGGTAATTTGGATCAAGAATCTCTCCGGTGAGGTTATTATTGTCAGCTGCATAAATGGAAAAAATAACCTTCTCTATTAAAAAAAAAAAATCACTTGAATTTAAAGAAAACTAGAAAGTAAAGATTTTTTAGGTTAGAAAAAAATTAAAAAAAGAGTAGAGTTTTTCACCTCCCCCAAGGTTGTAAATATGCTGAGTGACTGCTTGAAGAGAATTGGGTGCTTTCTTTAAAAATTCCGTGAACCAGTTTATCTCAAGGAATCCTCCTGGCGCTATTACCAGGGGCTTAACCTCAAACCCTTTATATATAGTCTGCACAAGGTTATGAAGAGTCCCTACATCTGAAGCATATTGATCTGGTGCAACGAAAGCTCCAATGCTGGAGCTGCCACACAGTTCATTACCTGATAATTAAAAATATTTACATCACAAGTTATGTAAATTTATTGACGGAAAAGTGTTTTGCAACACATACTACGACGGGCTGCAAAACACTAACTTTTAGATTAATTAAATTGAAAAAACTATTTTACAATCTTGACTATTTCAAACTGTAAATGATGGGGGGAGGGCTCGCTGATATTAAGAACCTTTCCCCCCATCATACAGTTCCTGTACAATCTAAACTGTAAATCTGGAAACCCAAATTAAACAAAGGCTCTGAAATTAGAAGAGGAACCTCCATCTAATGACTAGTGTTTTGCAGATTTAGACTCATTTATAGAATACAGAGAAAAAGAACAAGAGATTTTACCTAGTTCCCAGCCATGAATTTTGTAGCCATTATTGACAGTGTATCTTAGGAGGGATTCAGCATTGCTGGAATTCCAAGCTCCTACTGCATTTCCGTCAGGACCTACAGTCCTTCCATTGAGTGCATTTAATCCAAAAACAACAAGAGCCCTGAAAATTTTAAGAGCAGAAATCAATGATAAATTGTTTCATTTTTTGGAGAAGGAAATCGAAGAAGTTCAGTCACATACATACCCTGCTTTTCTGAAGAAAACATTGAGTTCATCCCATCTTGACATGGGTAAGCAACCTTGGGAAAATCCCAACAACTGAGAACTGTCTATAACAAATGATGTACAGGATTTTCCATCACCCTCTGTCTCATATATGACTCTATCCTGTAAAGTTCCTCCTAGTCTGATCTTCAATGGCGAAAAGGCTGCAATAGAATCAATTAAGCATTAGTTCAACTTCTAGACCCTGATGCAAATTTCACAGATGCATTTGATTCCAGCAAAACCCACCACTTACCTTTGACAGCGTTTAACAAAATCGGGTTTTTAAGATCCTGAAAACAGAATAGGAATTTTGTCAAATCTCTGATCCCTTTTTTTTGAATGTTTTCAGCGTGCATAGACAGGGAAGAGGAAGCTTACAAGGTTAAGAAGAGAAGCTTTGCCCCAGCTGCAAGTTCCAAAGTCACATTTATCAGGAGGCCACCAATCCAAAGTAGCACAGATGAAATTTTCATCTGTTGTACCTATAGCAGATGTGCCATTGACAAAAACAGATCCTGAAATTACTCTCCTGGATTGTCCTGCTTTCAGTGAAGCTGCAAGGACTGACCTGCTCACAAACATCCAATAAACCAAGATTCCCAAACCCACAAGATTAATCAGGGAACCCATCACATAGAACACTGCCTTCTTCGCCGTCTTTAAGTTCTAATTCAGGCCCTTCATTGAGCAATACAAAGCATGAAAATTTGTCAGCTGTTTGGTAGGCATTTTTTGAGTGTTTTTAAAGGGTTAAGTGAGCAAATTGAGCCAGGCACATCTGACTGCTGTTTTATACATTAGTACTGGGGCAGATCTAGCTAGTGAATAATCAACTGATCATTT